TTATTGTAAATATCAATTTTGAGTGAATTATCTTCAGTAGTTACTAAAATATCGCAGTTTTCGTATTTCTGGAAATTACCGTTATATGGGAAGTGGGCGTGGTTACAGTCCGATTTCGCCCATTTTCAATACCAACCTACCTTGGATTAGCGGAAACCTATGAAAGAAAGGAAAGAATTTGGTGCAGCGGTTACCAAGATATACACATGTAAACATAAGTAGGCGTGGCTATGCCCATTTTCCAAAAATTTATAATATTCTTATTTTTCGTCTAAAAATTGTTGTAAATATCAATTTTGAGTGAATTATCTTCAGTAGTTACTAAAATATCGCAGTTTTCGTATTTCCGATAATTACCGTTATATGGGATGTGGGCGTGGTTATTGTCCAATTTTTTAAATTTTCGGCCATTTAGTTTGCCGTATCAAGGCCAAAAACTGTGCCAAGTTTGGAATAAATTGGTGCACCGGGTACCAAGATATACACATGTAAACATAAGTAGGCGTGGCTATGCCCATTTTCCAAAAATTTATAATATTCTTATTTTTCGTCTGAAAATTGTTGTAAATATCAATTTTGAGTGAATTATCTTCAGTAGTTACTAAAATATCGCAGTTTTCGTATTTCTGGAAATTACCGTTATATGGGAAGTGGGCGTGGTTACAGTCCGATTTCGCCCATTTTCAATACTAACCTACCTTGGATTAGCGGAAACCTACATACCAAAAAATTTTAATCAAAAAGAAAAACAAATAAATGAACAAACATAGTTTCCAAAAATTTAATCAAAGTATAAAAATATTTGTCTACTTAAAATAATATAATTTAATCTTAAAAGAAGATTAAAGAAGAAAAATTAATTTTAAAACAACAAAATGTAAAAATTAAGAAAAAAAATTAAATTAAAAACAAAAAAATTTATTATTATGGGCCACACTGTGGAGGCAAAGTAGATATGTAACCTAAGTTTCACCTCCACAGTGTGGCCCAGGACGCACCTCCATTTTCCATAAATTTTTTTTTTGGTTTTAATTTTTTAATTTAATTTTTAGATTTTATTGTTTAAAAAATATATATTTTAAATATATACTATGTACATATTTAAATATTTCATTGGTTTAAAAATGTGAATAAAACGACAGGCTAACGTTGTAAGTTTAAGGTTATCTATGTACATTTTATCTTTATCCCTAACTCTACCATTTTTGTTATAATTACATTTACTGTGCAACCGGATTCCTACTTTCGCTATCGCTTAAATGCTAAACTACTAAAGCTAAAATTGTTTCTGAATTTATGGCGATATCCAAAAATTTTGGATTTTTTACGGCCGCAAGTGGCGCAGTGAAGCAGCAGCTGTCAAAATTTGTTTGCATATTAATGGTGATAAATATTAAAAATGAAATTATGTTCCAGCGAGAAAATAGCAGCCTCAATCTGGATTACATTTACAAAGGCCAATCCTTGAGAGAATCTACGATTGCAGCTTCAAAATGTTTTGCCCAGGGTGAATAGATGTTTTTACATTCTTTTAACAAATTAGTTTCAAGGAAATCCGTATCCTTTTCAGGATACAGCAAGCAGCATTAGCATTCCGAATATAAATAATATCGGTGGATTGGAAATAATGAAACCTTAAGTGAAAATGGAGTGTTTTATGAAGCCAGTTGGATGGAATTTCTCCTCAAGGCATATCTGCTAGACAACATGTAGTAAATAATTTTCTTTAAATTTTTTGTTTTAGAATTTCGAACCAGCATAAATTTTTGGCTTTTTGTCACTTTATTTCTGTTGCTGTTTTCCATTTTTCCTATTTATTACAAATTATTATTTTTTCTAAAGTTGAGTAGTTTAAATGAACAACGATAGAAATATTAGCTCTAATTTGTTTATAAATTTTTTAGTAGCAAATTTTTCTCGCCGCTAATTTTATACCTTTTTGAGCGAAAAATATGCTGGAATCGATAATCTTAAAATTTTATATGAGAATTGAAGTCGGTTTTGTTTTTTGCTTCAAAATTACTTGTTTTACTTTTATCCTTTTCTTCATCTACATATTCACCGAGATGATGTGAAGTGCGATGACGTGATAAGAGTTTATGTGATGTGATCAGCGTTGCCATTTTAGCCGTTTTCCGGCTAGATTTAGCCGGTTTTGATAGCAACTAGCCGGAGAAAATACGATCTAGCCGGCAGCCGATTTGTTAGCCGGTTTGTAAAAAAAAGTTGGCCGTTTTTAGCCGATTTTACTATTTGCCTAATTTTCAGGTGCAAAAAGTAATCAAGTTGTTCGAAAGCAATAATGCANCTATTTTATATACAAGATACGGTTTAAAACGTGAAGAAAAATGCTGCCATAATTTTACTGCTCTTAAAATTAATGAATTCAGGTGATATATACAATAGTGATTCATTTGATGATGAGGAATATACACTCGATATAAATTAATGGTGTTAACTAGTCTTTCGTTTCTTGCGATTTATTTAAATAAAGCATGTGAATTTTCATAAAACATTTTAGCCGTTTTTTGCCAGAGTCTATGTGAAACTTCACTAAAACATTTTAGCCGTTTTTAGCCGCTTTTTTTTGCCAATCTAGCCGGTCGACCCAAAAAGTTCTGGCAACACTGGATGTGATGTCAGGTAATGTGATGCGATGTGATGCGATCATGTGATGTAATGTCTTGTCATGTGTTGTCATTTAATGTGAACTCATGTCGTATGTGGTGAAATTAGTATACATTGTATTCATACATGTATTTACTGATGTATATGAATAAAAAAATGCTCTAAGAGATATATGTTTGTGTTTATACAAAAAATTTCGTTGCGACGCCCTTAGTAACGTCCGCAATAAAGTACAATATACTTAAAATAACACACGCACAAGTACTTGCGTATTTTTATGAACAATCATCTTGATTTATAATTATTTCTATGCACTCACGAAGGAAGACGCCTGGCATACTCAGAAAAAAAAACAAACCCTTTTATATGAATAATCGCCCCAATTATCTCCTTAAGCACATTAACACCTGACAACTACAAGCATTTAACATTTTCATTGCATGCAATGAGCAAATGCGTATTTAAGACGCAAGCATTCAATTACTCAGCACCATTTCACAGTCAGACATCAATCACCAACGACACACAACAGCTCCAATACGAATCACATATCCCTTTCTACACAAAAAAATAACAACTACAAAATGTTGCGTTTACTCGCTGATCTACTCGCCAGCTTGCTTTTCTTATCAACTGCTCATGCGCAAATGCAACAATGTTCCTGGTATGGACCCAGTCTGGTAAGTAGTAGCAGTGGAGCACTTACATAATTATGTAATCGAGTTAGATGAATCCAGCAAAAAGCTTAAAAAAACGCAAAGCTTGCTCATCGCCAGCTAAAAGTACTTATTGTAATTTATTGAAATCTTGTTTACGTTTTTTATGCGCTTCATATTATAATTAGTTGTTTTTTTTTTGCTCGCACTCCTGAGTGTAACCTCGATTTTATTCCGCCTAAGTACTTAATTGATATCAAATGACATGAGGCGTGTTAAAATAAGACCAGACACTGCAGCAGCTAAATATGCAATTATCAATTCATTGAATCGTAACTTTTTTGCAGCCTTTTGGGCGCACACATTATTTAGCCGCTCCCCCAGTGGATCTTAATCAGCCACCAATTTATCTGCCTGAATCGATTCCGATAAGCGAGGAGCCACAGGAATCGCAAGCTCCAGCCGGCAGAAGGATATGGATTACCAGAAGAACAAGGGTCGCAAAGAGATGAAGGACTACGAGGAGAACAACAAACAAAAGAAACCAACAAATTAATTAAGTCAAAAATACACTGTAGCCTTTTTTAAGCACTGGCTTTTAGGGCAAATTAATTATAAGTAAATCTTAAAACAAATAATTTAATAAAAAAGTTCCATACTAATTAAGAGAGGCATACAATCATTAGTATTAATAAAACTTATTTTTAAATTTGTTATGCCCAAAGTACTAAATTTAATTTTTTTTTAAATTTTGGTGTAAGCTTTTTCTCTCATTGCTTAGTGACCAGTGAAAACATTTGTTAAACTAAACATCATGGCACAGTCCTGTATACTCCACAGGACTCGCGGATGTGAAATTCGATCAGTAATAAAATTCCAAGAACAAGCCGAGCGTTTTTCGGATCAGGTCATCTAAGATCAGTACCGCATTGCTTGACGCACGAAGTGTTGGTTACTCAATGTCTTGTTAATACTAACTGCAGGTTAAACATCGTTATCGACGTGATCGACTCCATAACATATACCAGGAACCGATAACTATGTTTAACCTGTAGTTAGTGTCAACCAAACATTGAGTAACCGGGCCTAAGGGGCCTGGTTTTCACTACTCCTCTGGTATGTTCTCTAAGTGAACTCAATGAGATCTCGAATTATATTATGCTCGATTTTTATTTGTCGCGATCTGTACTATTTTATAGTTTACTAAACTCTTTTTTGTAGTATACGCCTATTACATAACTAGTCAGTTGTTGGAAGTAAGAACCATTCTGTTAATTTACTTGAAATAAATAAATAAACATTTCCATACAATTCCCGATTTCACATTTGGAGATTCTATTGACTTCAGTGCTACTTGGCTATCGACAAAGATAGTGGTTTTATCTTCCGGAACCCCTGTACTAAGTAAACGACTAGCCGCCCTTTCTATAGCAATCGTTCGGTAAACGAAAGGACTAATTACTCTGCAGGCCCTTCGAGTAGAGACCGCCTCTTAAACCATCAGTGTAGATGGATATACATACGAACCTCTGCATCCCATTCTTGTCTGCTCTGAAACCTAATAGGTACTTTAGTATTGAGTGCTGGCTTCTATGTCAGCTTTAATGCCATTGAGCCGGCCCTTTTATTTCATTCAGTATTGCTGCTTGCCCGAAATTGGTTGCCTTCTAAGTCTGAGAGCGCTCTTTACGGCTGCACAATGGATGAAAATATGCGGTGGTTGCAGATGAAATATCATGATAAGCCCTTCCTGAGTGCGGTAGTCACTGCTCTCGATATGCCTAGGCATACGAGTCTTTGCACTCTCCTGTTATTCTCCTCTTATTCGCTTTGTCTAGAGCACTCCGCCATACTAATGACCCGTGGGTTGCTGTGGTGTTCATCTCATAGCTGATGTACGGTGACAATCCCCATTGGTTTTCAAAGGCCCTTTTGCACGTATATATGCAGCTTAGCTCTCACCTCTACATTCCTTTTGCAATTCAACTTGGAGTCCAGAATGGTTCCGACTGGTTAACAGATATGAGCTGATCAGCCATCGTACGAGCTCAAGCATCGTCAAGATCAAAGTTGGCTATCTGCTGAGTTGGTAAAAGCTGCAATTTGGGCAAATAGAAACTTTGCTCCAGAAAAAATGATGGAGATTTATACTTAACGGAAACTGAAGAGGATTTTTGGTTATCTTCAATCCCACAATCTCAATCAAAATATTTATATAAATGCAGTTGAGTGAAAAAAGTCAACAATAGCTGATGCAGAGGTAAACTAAAACTACAACAATAACACATATGTAAAATGGAAAAAACACGATGTCTTTCAAAGAAACTAAGGCAAACGCCTGAGGAAATATGTAACTGCTAACGAAAGGACAAAAGAAAAGGCGTCGCCATTCGAAAGGTGTGAACCAGTGACAATGAGCACAGAAGTCGATGAAGAAGTTAAATGCGCTCGCAGTGTAGAAAAAATGCACATCTTGAAGTAACAACGCGAGTGGAATAAACAATAACAACAGTGGATAACACAACAGTAAACAAAGGAGGTGGAAAAGTCAGCAAAAATGGGGTTATGCTGAAGAAGTCTGTCTCTATGCAAGCTGATGGATTTTCGTGAAAAGAAATTTCGGTGAAATGCAAATGTGCAATGGAAATGGAATGCATACCAACAAACACAAATGACAGCAGTGCAAAAGAAATATGTTTTGTTTAGGAAAAAGAAAAGCATTAGAGAAATGCGAGCTGCTACAAAACGGCTGCAGGACAATGCATGGCAGCGGCAGCACAAGCGAGGAGCAAAGGGTTGTATATATCCCGCGGCATGGACAACTATCAACTGCATACTCGAGTATATGCGAATAAATGGATTTTCCTCTTGAATAAATGCGCATCACCTCACAATCAGACAGGCAAGCAGGTATTGTATGCACGTAGATAGGTAGCAGCCAGGACACACTCGAAACAGGCAGCTGGTTTGGTCGCAGCTAAGATTAATGTCCGAAAAATGGTAATTTGTAAAAGCGGTGACAAGCTGGCAGAAGGCAGCAAGCGAGTAAAAAGGATAGCGGGCGCATGCAGAGTTGACACAGTGAGCGTGCGTGCGCTTGCGCTTTTATGGTGGCTATGCAAAAGTCGAAATTGAGTTGTAATCTCAGCGATTGTCCCACTTATGTTAATGAATATGCGCGACAGCGACTTGCTGTTGTTGTTGACTTTCGGATAGTTCTGCCTGCGCCTGCGCTGTGACTTCCCAGAATGTCCTCATGCCTGTGTGTTCGTACGTGACTTGCTTACTTTCTTCCTTGCGTTTATACTTAATTTATGGGCCAACTGCAGTATCACACCTTTCTGCTTGGCATTACCTGCGCGCATCCTTTCGCTTCATCCATGTTTGCCTTTTTTGTGGAAGTTGTGCGTGCGTTTGGTTTCTGGTTGTTTTTTTTTTCCATGTAACTTGCATGCATTTTGTCAGAGGCGTTCAGTGACAATGCGACACGTTTGTTTTGTAAATATTGCGTTTGTTATTAATGATTTGTACACTTCAGTTTCCGATTCGGCAAACCGAAGCGTTTTCGCTGCCAGCTTCCAAAATGCATTTGCATATGAACTCTTCTTGCCGAAAATGGAGTTAAGAAATTTATTTCATTTGAGTTTGAAAGTTTACCCCTACTTTCTACCATTGAAATTTAATATTTGCTATTGATTTAGAGTTTTGTGAGTTCTGAAATTTTAGTAAGGATATACGACCATCTAACTTCATATATTTTCTCATATTTTTCTTTCGTAAACTTGCATTTGCATATCGTTTCCATTTGTCATTTGTCACTGTTGTGTTGATAAATATTTTCATCCTCTTGCTGGGTTTGTTTCAAATGGTTTTTCTTTTGCTGAACACTTTTATCAAATTAATGATTTCTTAATTATTTTGTGTAACATTTTTTTCTCGTCTGCTTTTGGGCAATTAATAATTTTTATGCAAATTTTATAATATTGGGAGAATACGAATTTCTTCCATATGTAATCCAAATGCTTCCACATCCATATGGTTCTCTTCACATATAAAAATTGTAGTAGCTACGCGTGGAAGAAATGCAATTTCTTTCGATTCACTTCTATGTAGTTCGGGTAATAGTGCACTTTAGCTTAACCAGGTCAAAAATTGATGAAACAATTCGAAAAATGAGGTATCAGGTTAAGGGGCTTGAGATGTAGATGTGCAATAAGGTTTTACTTTTTCAAAAAGAGTTGCCACCTTTTAAAAAATTAAGTGGAAACTATGGCTGCATTTCTTTATTCATTCTGAACGTTTGGAATAAACTTTTTTGTTTACTTATTCTTTAGAATGTTCCTGATGATATGTTAACGTATATTTCAAACGTATTCTGTTTATCCCGGCTGTGAAATGGGATTATCCGGAATGTATAAAGAAACGCAGCCTATTTATAAATCAATACCATCATATCCCTATCCTTCCCTCGATTTTCAAAAATGAGATGTCACATTAAAAGGCTTGGTTGCAAATGTGGAATGAGGTTTTACCTTTTGAAACGAGTTGCCACCTTTAAAATAGTAAATTCAAATTGTTTCAAAAACTAAACCAGCTGTTACAAAATAGGTTCAGTGAAAATGGGTTTTAAAAGCTTTATTTTTTAACTTAACTGTGAGAGGGTTACCACCTGTTTGAAAAATCAAATTCAATTTTAAACAATAAAAATTACATAGGCAATTTAAAAATGCTCCCACACAGGGGTTCCGACGAAAGGGGTTTAAGAAAATAGCAATTTGAAAATGTTTGGAAAAGGATTACCACCTGTTTTAAAAGTCGTGGAGTGGAGTATTAAAATATGGGTGTTAAACGAAAGAGCGCTAAAAAATCTTCAGTTGAGACATTAAAATTTTGTGCGATAGTTTGAAGAGAATTGCCAGCTGTCGAAAATTTTAAATTCAAATGAATTATTAAGTTAAATAAATTACTAAAAGAGGTGATTCAATCGTTTATGGGTTTGAGAAGGATTTATGTCTGAACTGTGTTTAGGAGAGTTGCCAGGCGATAAAAAAAATAAACTCAATTTAATTAATCAGTTAATTGAATTATGCGTCAAGGTATCAGACGGAAGAGGTTTAAAAAGATTTCAGTTTGAAAATACTTCGCAGAGAGGTGCCACCTGTCTAATGAAAAGTCTAATTTCTTTAACTTATACACATTTTTAATGAAATATTAAAATATGGAGGGCAAAAGAAAGAGTTTTAATAAAACTTTAGTTTGAAAATAATTTTTGTTAGGGTTGCCATCTATTCGATTTTTATTTTGAGTGCCAAGTTCGGTAATTGTGTTATCAGCGGCGAAGTCAGTTGGCCCCTTCGGAGCCGCGATTTCATGCCCTTAGACTTTTTTTGTGCCACGCCGGGAAGGACCGATATTATGCGAACTATCTATTAACGATTCCGGCCCTTCGGGCATTTCTTGAGATAGAGCCAGATATCGTCACCACGGTCTTGCAAAAATGGATTAACAGGATGCGCTACGAAGACAGTCACATGATGAAATCA